GGCATCCTCCTTCCCGGGGGTATTATCATATCAAAAATTCCCCTTTTTAACCTTTTTTTTTTTTTTTTTTTAGTAACTGTTGCTGGGCCTTCATAACTCTTACAGTTTTGAAGTGGGGAAAAAAAAATATTAAAGAAAATCATCTACTGTATTGAACAGTTGAGAAGCAAGGTCAGAATGTATGTGCCCACATGCATGCAAGCTAAGTGTGATAATTTGGGGGATCTGATATTATACAGATGAATCATTCTGTCCGTGAGATTGTGAAATTGGTCACAGACACACTTTTTTTATTTTTCCCTTCCCTTTCACAGCGAGATAAAATCCACAGATGAGGAGATCAGGAGACAGGGCTAGTAATGATGATTTCTTTAAATTGGGTTGCCCATTTAAATTAAACTTGAGGAGGGGATTATTCCTCAGAGCATGCCAGGTTTTCAAGTCTGCAAGTCTTTGAGAAATGGAAGCTAAGAACCTAACAATGCCATGTGGGTCTGGCCACTTGGCAAAGATGATTTGAGAGTAACTTGATAACAAGTCTGTTGAGCATACTGAGATACCTGGAGGAAGCAAGGATGAAAGGACAGGCGTGAAAGGGTAGCAGAAACTGATTGCTAAAGAACAGTCACTGGCTTTTACCTGTCAGAGGGGCTGGCGTCCAGGAGGCCTAAAGCATTTCACTCAACACACGCTCAAACGCTGTAATCTAACAGGTGTTCAGTTTTGGGAACTTCCCTTGGACTTTGCAATGCTTTTTAGATATGCTTCAGATATAAATCCTTCATTTCTATCTCTAGTAATTCTGTCTAAATGATGTTATCAAGGAAATGTTTGGGGTTTTTTTCCGTTGATGGATCAAAGCAATCTGGTACAGCAAGCAATCTAGTACAGCATTGAGAAGTTACTGCAACTAGAGTACTTCTCGGGTGCCCTTTGCTATCAACTGTAGATATTCAACAAATCTCTTTTTGCTTAAAGGACTTAGACGCTGCTAAAAGTGCTTGCTCTGTCTTCTGACCTTTCACATCGGCAGAGTGTGTTTATCATTCATATCTGAGGACACTGACAGTAAGCAGTAAGCTTGGCAGTTTAAACCTTGCTTAATGTCAATAAAAACTCCAACACAAAAACTTTTTCAAAATGTGTGATGCCACCATCCTGATGATATCATCCATCAGATTATTTCTACAATAGTTTATTGCCCTGTTTCTGGCTAACAGAAAACACTAAATGTTAATAAAAATTACAGGAGAAACGTAATGCAGTTGAAATAATGGATATTTCAGTGTGTAGAACCTTGTTATTCTTTGGATTGTTACTTGACTGAAATCCTGGCTTTTAAAAATTAAATTAAGATAGGATATTTGGAAATTAGAGTCATAAAGAAATACAGTTTCCAGGTAATGTATATTTGCATGCTTCTTTTGAAAAATAGGGACATTTAATTAATCATTTCATGATAAATACAACATATTGAAAATAGTTGTATTTTAATAGCATCTTTTTACTTCATTTTTTTTCCTGCAAAACTCACTGGGGTTTATAGTCTTAAGTCCTTTACTGTGTTAATTTTATGTCGGGGGGGTGGGGGTGGTATATGAAATACAAGAATATATATTGTCAATACTAATTCTGAAAGAGAAGCTCAGTAGAATAATGAAGTCTGTATTATGTTTTTGTGCTTTAGTAAACAAAAGGATTGGAGGAGCCAAGCTGTATATAAAGGAACTTCCTACAGAATTTTGTTTTAGTTCTTAATTTGCTTTGTGAGAAAGAATGTACTCATTTTCTAATTGCTTTGCTTTAATCGATTGATCCTTTTTGATTGAACACTTTTTCCATGTTTTCTAAAGATGAATGACGTAACCTCTGAGTTAATGTAAGAACCATAAGAAAACTGTAGATTAATACACTGTAATCTAGTGCAGTTACTAAGATGCATTCCTTTAGTTGAATGTAGTTCCAGCCATTGATTAAACATTGGAAACAAACTTTTATTTCTTCCTTATGTTATGGAGCAGCTAGATTTCACTGAATGGTTGTGTGAAAATTAGTAGACGTAGTGTCATGCTTGTATATAAAGATCTTGAACACATTGTTCAGCGCTGAATATTTTTTATTATGTTGAATAGGCAAATTATATCCATTTCTTTTTATACAGTAAAGATGGAGTAGAAATGAGGATTAAATTACCCCTGCAATGCATGTAAAGGTTATCAGACTATCTGGAGAGCTCTCGGAGTAAAAGCTTGGAGAGGAGGGTATTTGGGAGAATTACAGATTCAGGTTTCTTCACATTTCTTTTTCTTTTTAATAATGTTTTTTTGAAATGAACCCTTCAAAAAATCTTCTGTTAACTTTTCTTGTCATTTTATTTTGTTTTCTTTTATCATTTCAGGAGAGTAGAAACAGCAGTAGATCATCTAGTCCTAGTGTGAGAATGATCACTACCTCGGGACCAACCTCTGAAAAGCCAACTCGTAATCCATGGACACCTGATGACGCAGGTAATCCTTTGTTCATTAGTTAACTTTTTGCCTGTAAAAACTATAAAATATTTATTTGACTATGGTGTGGGCTGTGTGCCTAGACATTAACCAAAATTAAGCAGTGAAAGTCACAGTCCGTTTTAGTTCTGCTTAAATTCAATCATTACTGCTTTGTTTTGCACACTGGCTTTAAGAACTTTTTTATATAGATTATATGAAGTTACATAAACTTGTAAGCATTTTGCTTGTAAGAAAGTACTGTACATATGCAGTGATAGTAGTATTTAATGCAGATCTTTTAGCACCAGTTTTTGACTGTAGCGTGGTTTGGGGGAATTAGGGGAATAGACATCGTAGAGTATTTTAGTCTTGTGCATTTGTATTATGAATGCACAGTTAAAGCTTTCATTGCTCGTGACTTCTGGAATGAAATGCTATGTAGGTGAGTATCAGCTGGAATACATTAATTCTATTTTTTATGTGTTGTAATTTTGCTTATGCAGAATGTACATGTGCACATGATCTTACTGTTCTTAAATGAACTAACCTAAGTATGTCTGCAGAAGTGTTGTAAATGCTTCTACTGTAGCATCACTGTTCTTTTGTTATGAAATAGGATTAAGAATGAACATAATTTAATAGTTGAATTCCATTTTAAAAGTCGTAATGCACTCCATTATGAAAAGAACCAGTACTGGACTGCATGAAAACAATGGATGCCCACAAATTCCTTTTTAGAATATAAACAAGAATTACATTTTTTGTTACCAAAATGTACACGTTGAATCTGAAACTTAGTCTCACGCTGGTACCTCATAGTGCCTCAAATTCTGAAATCTTTTTCTTGTGATCAGTTTCATCTTTGGCTGATCAAATCCTTTCCTTCTTTCCTTGTAACAAACTGCAAAATGGAAACTCACATGTGGACCGACTCTTGCACAAGCTTATGTGTGTATATATATATACACACACACACACACACATATACACACACACACATATATATGTATATATATGCACACTTGTATTTTACCAAATATAAGGTGATTCTGTATGTAAGATGTGTACTTTTCTTCCCCCCCCCCCGCCTCCCGTTTTAGTGGGAGGAGGGCAGCATACTCGTATTTTGCTTCTGTGCTTTCTTCCTTCTGTCCATTGTCACTTTGCCTGACCACACTCTGAGTTGTCACTCATCGTTTCTCAAAGCCCTTCCCAACTACCACAGCCCACCCTGTGCTCTCTTTTGTGTAGCATGGGTCCCGCGTTGCTTTAGGCAGTGAGCATTTATGGGAATTGCTGCCTCACATGGAAGCAAGCTCTTACCCAATCAATAGTTCATTGGGAACTGAAAGCTGCTGATTGTATGCCAGTGCAAAGGCAGTTTGTCCAAAGTCTTTGGCCTTAAATGCAGCACAGCACTAGAGCTAAAAGTCAGGTCCATTTTCTGGCCCACAGAAATCCCTCACCTTATACTCAGGTAAATACAGAATGTACCACATGTATATTTTTTCTTGTTAGGTTTACGCAGTCCATGAACAAAGAATTGTTTGAACTTCTAAAGAGATAAATAATTTTAGTTTTCTGTAAAAGAGAGTACATTTTTAAGTTAATGAGGCAAAATGATAAAATGAGGATGCAGCCGAATCTGGTCAATCACAGGAAAAGTTACAGTTCTTTGACACAGTGCTGAAATGCTCAGGAATGTAATCTGAAGTATTTTGCATGTATTGATGTATTTGAAACGTTGCAATAATTCCTTTGCTGTAGCAGTATTCCATATATGGCAATAGTCTACCGTAGGGAAGGACTTTTTATATTGTTCTTATTTAAGATACTGTGGTGATTAAGTCTCTGGTTTTAGGGTTGTTTTCTTTCTTTCCTTTTTTTTTTTTTTTTTTTTTTTACCACCTTCCAGTTTCCTTACAAGCATACACTTAACCACTTTTTCTCCATTCCCACCCTCTTATTTCTGTTTCCTTTTGAAGCTGCTCTTGGAGATAGCATAGTCTTTGAGGGCAACACCTTAGTTTCTCTACCACGACTACTCTGTGGCAGGTGCTTTTGGGGTATGGGTAAGCAGCCCCTTTTTTTTCCCACCTACCCTCCTCCATATAATCCTCTATTAGCAATAATGCAGCTATAAAACCAGTAGTTTCTCCATGTGTCTTTATTCCTATGTCTCTTAAAGCTTAACAGTAACCTTGCGATCCCCAGATTGTGGGCTACCAAAAGATAGGATCTAAAAGAATTCAGAAACATGTTAAATCTGGAATGAAAGCACTAGAGAAATCCAGAGTAACTGCAGTGTAAGAAGAGAGCAGCCAGGCCCAGGAGGCAGATTGGTTATTGGGTTCCTTGCTACTCACAAAGTATCTCTACAGAGCAGAGAAGATGCCCTAGAGCATGTTGTGAGGAAGATACTTACAGACCTCACTGGGAGCAGGTTTCAAAACTGAGCAGGAGGTTGTGCTTATTTTATTTTGGCAGAGCTGGTTTGCACAGCTTCTAATTTTAAAATCATTAGATGCATGGGCTGGCTGGCTGATACTTCATAAACAAGAATGAAATGGCAATTTTTTTATAAATAGAGAACATGATTGCAAACTGTACAAAAATAGTATTTTTAAAACCTGTATGCTGTTACATGGCTTCTGGAAGTGTAGGATGATAACCTTAATCTTTATTTCTTCTTGGTGTGATAGACCATAATTTTGAAGTTCCTAACTTTATCAGAAAAACAAAATGATTCATTTGCCTTGGGATTGGAACACTGCTATTTCCATTTGCCTTTCCACATTCAGATTGCGTATTATGAAATGATTTAGAATTCTTGTTTTTGTCCTATAAGAATAGAATTAACTCTGAAAATACATTAAAATTTTCTTGGTACTGTTACAGAGACCAATGGGTCAGATAACTCCATCCCAATGGCATATCTTACATTAGATCATCAGTTACAGGTAATAAATATATGCTTTATTGGATTCTTTGTCTTGCATTTCATTCTAATGTGTGAATTTTGGGCTGCAAAACATAGTGCTGCATATTTACCTGTGTTTATATTCTGTCTAACTTTTGACCAAGGCTAAAAAAATATATTATGTAATCTGAGATTGGTTGACTCAGATTTGATCAAGCTATTAAAAACAAGCCCTGGGAAACATGATCCCTAAAACCAAATGTAAGCTGAGTTTGACTGTCAAAATAAGACATTATTTGCTTGAGTGTTACTGAATTAAATTGTTGTATTCGCTTTATTTGTTGTGTGGGGGATTAAACACTACTTTGATTTTTGTGACAGGGAGAGTATCAGATTAATAACGGCAGATTTGAGGTTTGAGTCAACTTTGACATCAGTGCAGTAACATTTTCCAGGGCATGGTTTAACACTTATTTTTAAAAGCTTACTGGTTTTTAAAAGACGTTATAAATACACTGCAGAGACATTCTAACACACTATATACTAAGATATCAGTTCATTAGTTTTTAACATGTCTGACTTATTTTCAGCCTCTAGCACCGTGCCCAAACTCCAAAGAATCTATGGCTGTGTTTGAACAGCACTGCAAAATGGCACAAGAATACATGAAAGTTCAGACAGAAATTGCATTGCTGTTGCAGAGGAAGTAAGTGAAATGTGTTTAACCTTTTCTGTTCTTCTGTACTTTTCTTTTACACGAAGTGTGTTATTTGTGACTATTATTTCTGGCTTTATGAAGTAGCATTTCATAGGGCATAATTATTTTCCAGCCTTAATCTCAGAAATACTGAGCTGCTCAGTACAGGTGAGATACTTAGAGCAGGTAATTGAAAGCTTTAATCAGTATCAAGACTCTTCTTCTGGACAGGTCCTACTTTAAAGTGCGTAGCACATTTGTGTATGTAACATATTAGTAATGTTTGTATCATCTCAAATGAGAGACCTGGACTGTTGGAGGAATCTTGGAATTTTATTTCCAACACTGTCCAGTAAAAGATTTTCAATTTTAATTTGTAGATAATCACTTGGATAATGGATTATAGAATTTTGAGTAATATGTCAATGTTACTCATTTTGCAGTTAGTTTTTATCTTCTATCTGACTTTTGTCAATCATTGCATTTACAACAGTATTATCAACACACATCTTGCGTTTTTCTACCAGGGGTTTAGGACCTAATACTTAAAAGCCATTATGTACCTTTTTATCCTTGTGCAGTAGAAATAAACTCTTCCCTCTTACATTGTGTACACATGTAAGTTAAACAACTGCATGTATTACGGCCAAAATTATTGCTGATTCAGAACTGCCGTTTGCAGTACGTTCTATTGTGTTCTGCTTCTCGTCATTTCTGTTCCCTGACACCGGGGACCAGTTCTGAGAGGTCATACATACTCCCATGCTAGACCAAGTAACCAGCTGGTAACCCACCAGTGTCTGAGCCACTGCAGGCAAGCAGTTGTTAATGAGGAGCTTGCCTTGGTGTTTGTGGAATAGCTAATGAGAAAAATGTGTGTATAAACCTCTTGTACATTAGAAATAGCATACAGAACGGGGGGAAAAAAGCTACTGTAAGATCGACCTCCTATCATCTATTCGCTTTTGGCTTAGCATCCCGAGAACAATTATTTTTCAAGTGGAGCTAGAATTTTTAGACTTCATGAGGAGATACTGAAGTTAGCATGAAGATCTTAATTTTGGTTTTATTTCTGTTGTCCCTAAGGGTCAATAAATTATATAAAAATGTGTTTCTGTTTCAACACTGTTAATTCTGTACCTTTAGATTCCTATTTTATCTTTTTTTCTGGCAAGTCTGCATACACATTTCTCCCAAACTGTTTTTTCTTAGTCAGAACATTATTGCCCATACGTGTTAAAACAAAAAATAGTATTGTGATTGATGAGTTTAATGCTGGTTAAGGTAGTTATTAGTTCAGCCTTTATAGAGTGATTAAGTTTTCTTTAACTGTAATTACAAACCATATGGCAACAATTAATTAACATGAACTTTCTCCTCTACTATTTTGTTGCTAAAATATTGCTGGCAGCTTGCCTTCTTGTCACCTCATAAACAAATAGTAAAACAAACTGCTACATCAGTTTTGCGGGATAATTTATGTCAAGTTATCAGTGTGTTTGTTCCTCTAAAATTGTTGCTAAAAAACATATTGAACACTTATGGCATAAGTTAAGTGAAATGACAGTTACAAAAATAATTTGTTTGATTCTGCTTTTCCATTGCTTTAAGAAGTTCAAGTCCCAATAGAAAACAGCACTTCACTAAAAGGTTACCAAAATTATTGCAATTTTGTCTTTTAAGTTGCCTTTTGAGTTTTTAAAAGTACATGTAGTTAAGCAAAATTAGAGTTGAATATATTTATGAAATTCTGAGTGGATCCTTAGATGTTTTACTGTGACCTGTAAAACAACGTCTGAAAGACATTATATAAAGGACAATTTTAGAGATTGAGGCTATGGCTTGCAGCTATTTTAAAGTTTAAATGTGGATTTGATTTGGAAGAGAATTTTTCCCCAGGCTGCTGTAAAGAATAAGATTCTCTTTTTTGGTCAACTTTTTTATTTTGTTGAACGAAATATCACCAGCCATGAGTTCAGACTGATAATCAAATACTGATTTGAAACATATGAAGTCATCTACACACAAACAGAAGTAGATTATAAATGACAATTGCCTTTTTTTTTTTTTTTTTTTTTTTTTAGGCAAGAA